TGATTCGATGAAGTTAACTTATGAAGGCCCATATGACTTAGTGGATCGTCTCTCAGACGTGACTTTCCGGATAAAATGTGATCGGCGAGGTAAGCCAAAAGTGGTGCATGCCAACAGGCTTTGGCATTATCACGGTCCAGGACATTTCAGTTGGGACGAAGTGGACAACAGAACAAATGACGCTGCTGAAGACGTGCCAAGGTAGTAACTTCATCAAGAGCTTCACCATTTCCCTTCTCAAAACTGAGTAGAGTTTCTTCTTTGACGGTGACTTCTTCAGGCTGATGTGACTGTTATCGACGATAGAACATTTCCTGATGAAGCAGATGAACCCCATAAGAAGCAGAAGCCAACGAGATGGAGACCAGTATGGAAGAAGATACATCCCGTAAAATTAAGAGATTTTTGTGGAATTGTAATTTTGTGTTTGTAATTCTGTACATTTAATTAAGTTATTGTTAATTGTTATTGGTTTATTGTAAGTGGCTATTGTTCCGGACGAACAATACTAAGGAGGGGTAGTGTTACGTCAGCGAGGTCACGTGACTAGTATCACGTCACCTGTTTCTAGAAATATCCTGTTCCTTCAAGAATACCCTTGCATTTACTAGATATGTGTTAGTCTTGTATATATATAAGACGTTCACAACGTGACGGGGACAGTGCAATGAGTAATTGAATGTATGTAGATAAAATATTGTTGGCCACGTGAGACGTGAGCGTTTGTTATAGAGCGACTGTTGAAATTAAGTGTATCGTAAAGTTATATTCAGAAAGAATAAACCAGTTTTACTTAAGAAAGGACTTGTGTCGCTATCGGAACGAAGTTACGGAAAATTAACTAACGAACAGAAACGTAACAATATCTTTTAATTCTAGTAATAGTTCACCTATCTCGTCATAATATTGTCTAATTAAGGTCTCGTTTCTAGGCAATGCTTCTTACCTTGTTTTTCTAGTTCATCCACGTTTTTTAGTTGTTTACAAATAACACAACTATTCTTAAACTTTCTAAGTTAATAAAAACTCCTTAAAACGTCGAAGCAATTGTAAATTCCCTCGAAAATAACACAGTTGCTTCAGAACCAAAAATATTAAACCTAATTCTAGTTTAGAGTTGAAATTTTAAATGTGTTTTAACAAGCTGTAGCTTTAAAATACAATCAAAATTAAATATTATATAAAAAGGGACTATAATCTATTGTAGTTATCAAATACATCTATATTATTGTTATAAAATATTTACATTATCTTCCATCCTCGAGTTGCTCAGCTTACAACATCAAAAATTCGATTTCGATACCGATGATGATGAATACATAACAGATAACTTGCTGTGTAGCTTTGCGCTTAACAACAAGCACAACATAATTTTGCATTTTTCTATTGGTGTTCTGTGACGCTATTGAGGCCTGATGTCTAATAGAGCTTTGAGGGAGTGGCTTTAGTACATCCTTTGACCAATTTTATATAAGTGTTCTGTTTATTTTCACTTTTCAATCTTATCTAGCAGTGTATCAC